TGCAACTCACTTCTTGTCTGTTGCTGCATCTCAGAGATTGAAAGTGCTCTCTTAAGCTGGGGATAGCTGGTCATCTCTCTTGCTGAGACCACTGATCGTGCCTTCAACTTTGATGGTTTGTTTTTCTTTGCTTTTCAAAGCCCAATGTCAGTTCTCCTGAGACACATTCATGAGTTTTGTTTTGTTTTGTTTTGTTTTTTATGACATATCCATTCATGGTGAAATAGTTCCCTTGTGGCTTACAATAGCCATTTCTGGATTAGAAGGGTTCTTGAAGCACCCTGGATTAAATGGGGTTAAGAGGGTACAGAATAGATCAATGGTAGCTCAGCTGGTTCAGCACCTAGGCAAGGTGGGAGCTGACCAGGGACCTTTAGGAAGTTAACTTGAATCCCTTGTGCTTCATCCCTAAATACCCTTTCAATGCCAAGCAGCTGGTGTGTGTCAGAAAGTGGCACCATCCGGATCCTCTTGATCCAACTATGCACACAGAGGAAGTTACTAGATGCCAGCTGCAGAGAACAGAGATTTCTACAGGGTTGTACACTTTGCTTTATTCCTACTTCTTCCTTTCTGAATGATCAGGATCAAGAGGGAGAGGACCTTCTATTATCACATAGGTCAGGGAGGTTCCTCAAGCCCGAGAACAACTCACCAATTACAAGTTGCCATCTATATACATTGACAGTATGCTGTTTGAGACTTGATGGCCACACAACCTCCTTGTCCCTCACAGGGAATTGGGCATATAACAATGTAATGCTTTATAATAATGACTCTTGTTTTGTCCATCTTTAACTGGCTTGCTGTCTGAGAGCAAAGAAAGATGGCATTTGCCATGTGTTTAAACCTCAAACCAAGTAGTGTTGAAGGAACAGGCTACTAAGATTGATTTAATGCAACATATGTTAAAGATTACTCTAAAATATCTATCTGGTTCATGAATTAATCTGCCTTACAACTTTCACTCCTCCTGACATGTTTGTGTGACATGAAGCATGTTGAGATGTGGCTTTCTAGTAGAAACATTATGTCCCTTTTCCCCAGAGGGCTTGGTTTCATAGTAATTTTATTAAACTAGTCACATAATATCCAGTCTGTCTTTTATGAGGATCTTGAGCTTTCGGATGAATTTGGGTGATGACCAGGCACAGACTGAAGAGTAAAGATACATTTTATCCAGCAGTGTCAGGTCCGTTGTTACAAAGACCACCAATGGAGAGCAATAAATGAGTTTGATTTAAGCCTCTCCACCATTTCCTGCACAGTTAGGAGGCCCACCTTCCCCCATGAAATGCCTGGAGCCCTTCCCACAGGGCTTTAGTGCATCCCAGCCCATGTTAGAGGTTCTTCTAAAAGACATAGGGGAGTATTGGCAATGTTCCATCCCATAGTCATCTTTGCAGACAAACTCACGGTGCTGCTAAGCTTCTCCTTAGCATTTTAATGACATGAGGGTCATTGGAACACAGTTCAGAAGAGCATCATCTTGAAGCAACCCTTCTCTGGAGGACACACTGGCTTGTACTTCCTCTGCCTTTGATGTCCTCTGTTCCCTGCCTCAGGTTATGGGTGTTCAATAAAAGGGAAACATAGTTTCCAGATTCTGATTCTCAGGGCCAATCCCCAGGCACCACTCCTCCTGGTATTTGTTTGGGGTGTGTTCTGATGGGAATCGCCATTTCCCCAAAGCAGAGACTAACAGAGGGTGGTCCACCACCGAACACAGGATATGAAACCTTTGTGTGTGCTTCATCTCTCCAGCAGCAGCACCTGTGTTTGAGCCCTCTGAACAATACTTGAGTGACTGACAGTATCAAACCCTCCTGCAAAATTGCAAAGTTTTTCATAATTGCTCATCTTCCATTCATATTTATGCCATACTTCTACTTAGAGGCTGGGTTTGTTTTGTTGTTGGTGGTGGTTTGTTTATTGTGTTTTTTTTCTGTTGATCAAAAGAAATTAATTAGGACCAAATAAAATAAGTTGATATACATAAAGACAGTGGGTTTCATATTTATTTCTATCATATGGACACTAGTGATTTCTACCAATATACACTGACAAAAACTTGGTACTAAAATGGTAATGAAGTCCTAATACACTGAAGCCTGATTTTATCTATGTTTTGCTAAACATGACCTATTTTTCAGTACCAAGACCAAATATTATGCCATTTGAGAATTTAAAATGTATCTCCATTCTATGTGCCCTTTCATATATTGGTCACACAAATAAGAGTGTACCATGCTCACTTTGAAAATGTGCTCTCTCCGTGTTTCCTGGAACAGAACAAAAGGCATGCCCAGTGAAACAGTAGATTATCCTCAGTAAACTGCTTTGAAATTTAAGCTCTTGGGTTGGGCTCTCCAGCTCTTGCAAGGTAAAATGGTTTCAAGTTAAAAAATAGTCTGTTCTTATCGGTGGCTTGCATGAATAGCCTTTGTAGTTTTCTGAAACATTTTTATGACCAGATGAGGTAAGGAGTTGATTCTATTTTTGACTCAACTTCCTGAGTCTTAATATCTCTTTGTATAAAGAAGACACTAATAGCTTAGTTTAAAAGGCCCAGTGCTTTAAAACAAAAATCACACTGGGGCTAGAGATTTGGCTCACTGTTGAGCCCTTGTTGTTCTTGCAGAAGATCCAGATTCAATCCTCAGAACCTACATGGTGGCTCACAACCTTCCTTAACTCCAGTCCTAGCAGAGTCAAAGCATCATTTTGACCTTTTCTGTCCCAGGAATATATTGGTGTACACACATCATGAAGGCAACACATTGATATGTATTAAATAATAAAATAAGTAAGTCTAAGGATTTTAAATTCATATGGAAAGCATCCTAACTTTTTAAGAGTATGATTTTATGTGATACACAATTTTCTTTGTAGATGCTCTTAGAATACATTTTTGCTCTTTCAAGTCTTCCTGTTTTTTTTTTTAATCTAAAAAAATGGATGACTGGGAGATATTTTATAATCTTCATTTAAAAATTGTTTAATAAGAGTCAATTTTCTGAAAGCTACTGCTATGGCAGTTTTTTATTGATAAGTTCTTGTCTGTTTTTTGTTTAGATTCTTGGTTAGAAAAATGTTTTGGTTTTTTTTTTTCCCAGTGTTTCTATAAACATTCACCTCATGGAGATCTGTATTAAAATCAGGGAAATATCACAAATGATTTTTGACTGCAACATCTGTTTAAACATATAATAATGAAAGGATAACATTGCTTGATGGGAAAAAGATAATCACTCCCACAGATAGTGTAGTAATGTGTATTGGTGAGATCTATTTTCTGTGTCTCCAGATCTTTATCATAGTCCTTTTAGAACTATCTTTAGTTTTTAAAGGTCTTTCATTTAGAAATTCTCATTTTCATACTAGAAATAATTTCAGCTTTGTTTAGTCTTAAATATTTTAATTACTTGATACCTTTCTACATTGCTTTTATTACATTTGTGATAGGAAAGGAAGAAGTTTGCTGCCTCTGAAGATGCTATGTTTGTTTTGTCATACAGGTGACACCTTTCGGTGTCCCAGGAGTGAACAAATGAGTTTGTGTGGGAGTTGTGTTTATCAAATAAAGCATATGTAAGTGATAACTGAACTGACGTGCCCAACATGTAGATGTAGAAGAGTAACACAAACATCTTAGTGACACTGAGTAGAGGTCCAGGGAATGAAGTTTGACCTGAAGAAGCTTGACCACTGGAGTCATGATCATGTTGTAGGTCTACAAGGAGAGAGTGCAAGTGGATTAGCTAAAAGGGTCTCCTATTCAAGAAGGCTGGGGAATTTAAACATCATAGAAGTGTGCCGTGAAATTTTGTTTGAATTCAACAATAGACTAAATAATTCCTTTTCTCATTCCATAAAAAAGTGAAAAAAAAAAAAAAACTGTCCCAAAACATTAGTAGATCATCCTTAAGTCTGTTTGCTAGTGTTGAGACTGTTAGGCAACACCACCCAAGTCCAGTCAGTGTGTCAGTGAAAAGCTCCTAACACCACCCTGTCCATTTTCACCACATAGTTCTAATGGCACAGTACCTTCATCAAGGAGTTGGCTGTGTTACATGTTAGAACATATGAATTATTATTATTAATACCTTTTTATATATGGAATATGTATTTGAGATAATAAAAGTATTCTCTCTCTTCATTAGCCAGACCAGTTGCAGATTTGTTTCATGCTTTACCCACTACAAAATGAATGCTCCATTTTGCTGTCTATCAAATTTTTTTGTTATTTGAAGATAGGTGTAAATTATTCATGAGCATAATTCAATTATATATAAAGAAATGTCAGAATTTGAGGACTTTCGGAGTCCTGCACGTGTCACATTTTTCTTAGCAATGATGACCACTAAGGGCTGGCTTGGTATCTGTCTCCAGTAACTACTCAGCGTCTTAGGGGAAGTAATAGCAGGGGAAACATTTTGTCTTTAAATCAAGGTGTCAGGTTTATATTTTATCTGTAAAAAAAATGTAACATGAATATATTTGACATCTACCTCAGCAAACAAATTAATGCTAATTAAAGATTAATGTGTTATAATTAGCATTAAAAATGCAATTAAATTGTGAGTAAATGGACCAGGAATAGGAAACTGTTAGACGTCTCACAGCCTGGTTTTCATATTCTGCCTTTTGTTTTTGCAGCAAATAGAGGAACTGGGGCAGCAGGCAGCTCCCAGACTGGAGACGCTCTGGGAAAAGCCCTGGCTTCGGTGAGGAAATATTGACTTTGGACTCCAAAGGCACCGCTTGTAGCAGGGTGAACTTTAATCAGAAGTGGACATATGGAATTTTAGAAAATAAATGCAAATAGCTTTGATTAGGGGTGGGGGTGGGGGGGATAAGGATTATTGAGATTTTTTTCGGGAAGGCGATGTCACCTGCTTTGGCTAGCTTCTTTGATCTTGTTTTCCTGTTGGTGTTCAGCCACCCTCTGTGAGGGTCTGGAGATATTCTCTGAGCCTTTTGGCTCACAGATTTTTGTGTCCCTTTCTATTTTTTTCATCTCTAAACTATTATAGATGCCCATTGGCTAACTAAGACTGACTCTTCAAGAGTCAATCACAAGACAGTTAGAAAAGTTACTTGCAAAAAAAAAAAAATGACAATAGCTGAGGCTCTTGGGGGACTTGGCAATTCATTGGCACCTGAGGGACTTAACTTCTCTGCTTTGCCCACCTATACTGCCAGTAAGCTGGAGCTGAATAATTCTTGTGTGCTCCTGAACAACAAAATAGCATTCTTTGTTCATTCACCTCAAGTCCTGTCTGTCCCTTGAACTGTCTTCAGAGGCTACACATGGCCATTGACCCTTTTAAGAGGAAGTTCATACTTCTAAAGTTTGCATCTTCAGTTGCATTTTCCCTCCCATTGCGAACATAAAATAAGCTCAAGGAATATCAGCATTGAATTCCAAGTGAAAGTACTTATTTAATCTGGCCTCTCTTGTGCCCTGCTTTCAAATGCCCTAATTACAGTAGACCCAATACTGCCAGCCTCTTGTTTTGTGACGGAAGAAAGGAAAATTAGAAAGCAGCATCTCTTTGACTTGGCCATAGCCAAACAGCCAGTGATGGATGGGAAAAGGCCTGGACTTGAAGTTGGCTTAACCCCAGCTCCTTTTCCTACCCTCACACACCACCACCCTAATCCATTTGCAAACTTGAAGTTATTGTTGCATTTTTTTTCCACTGTTGAATGTTGTTAGCACAGCGGAGTGCTGCATGCATTTTGTGCCTCGTGGATTATAAATGAACTGCATGGATACTTGTATAAACATTGTGTATGCAAAATAAATGAAAATATCCTTTCCTCCCCACTCTTTTCAGATCTATTCTCCAGATCACACTAACAACAGCTTTTCGTCAAACCCTTCAACTCCTGTTGGCTCCCCTCCTTCACTCTCAGGTACTGTATTCTGAATTGCATTTCACAGTTGTAAAAGATTGCAGACGACCCCTTCTACACTGCCACTGCCTACAGAAATCTCAAGACATAGCATTTCCATAGACAGAGAGAATGGGGTAGACGACAGAAACTATAATCAGAAGGTGCATTTGTATCTAATCTTTTTCTTTAAAATTAGATGAAAAGACACTTCTTAAACTCTTTAGCTCTAGAGAAGATGTTCAACAGCCGATTTCATATATTCCAATAGAATTTTTCTAAGAAATGTAGTCATGAATGTTTACTATTTAATTACCAAATATGGGCTATGTAAATGACTCTTTCCCTGAAGACATTTCAGCCTCCCCGAAGTCTGTGGAAATATTTAGAGGAAAGTATGACTTGGTACATAAATTGTTATATAATTGTATAAAGTAAGGGGATGTTTGTCTTTAAATGTAATTAAAAGTGCATACAAAAGTGTCATGTGTGCACCTGACATGAGTGGAATTTAGAACATATTTGCTTTGCCCAAATGGTGGGTCCTTGAATTCTGTACTGTTTCCTGTGTGCAGCTCTCATGTGACCCCCTGTAAACTGAGTTTCCTCGTAGAAAATGAGAGGTTTCAAACTACTGAACAACTTTAAGAAATGATGGCTACAAAACAGATGGGATTTCAGCCTCTGTGATTTTGGAAGTTTCCAAAATAGGACAGTGATGGGGTCAACTGGATCCTGAAGTCTGTCTGTTCTGGGTGACTAAATTGAAATGGGGAAGATGCAGGGCAATTGTAAGATGGTAACAGAATATACCCCCACTCCCCATGGCACAAATGAAAAGGAGGGCTCAATATTGTGCTCTTCTGGCTTGGTACCAGATGCTTAGGCTCTGAAAAGGTTATCTCAAATATTAATCCCCCAAACCAGAGAAGGATTGACAACAAACGACTTGAGATAGTGGGAGGAGAGTATAGAAGCAGGTGGAATGCCACATTTACCACCACTTTAAACAAAGCCTCAAGTTCTGTGGTCTGGAAGTGTGAGAACAGCTAATGTCAGATGTCCTGGTTTTGTGCATAAGTGTACTGAAGTGAGGGAAGGCTGGGTTGTTTGCCAAGGCTATGCCAGGAACAATGAGAGAGCTTGCTCAAAACCGGGTACTCATGTTCCTGTGGCTGCTACACTTTAGGTAAGGACAGGGAAGTGGATACACAGTTTTTTGGTGAAGCCTCAGCCTCAGCAACCTGCTGTATATAGAAGGTGCACAAAACAAGCCTGATGAAGCTACTTTTTTGGGTCCTTGTAATGCATTTTGGAAGACCACATGTTAGGAAGAAAGAGCTTTTATGAAGATATATAAATAAGGGGACAGATTGCTATTTTCACACCAACAGCTCTGTCCAAATTCTGTCAAGAAAAGTAATTGAACAAAATATCCTATTTTTATTTAGCATAAAAATACACAGGCATACCCAGAAAAGACAGAAAGAATGGATTTTAAACGTGCTGGCAGCACGAGGGCATGGGATCTTGAGAGATCAAAGTTATTGTTTTGGGTTTTTTCTTTTTCCTTTTTTGAATTAGGGATTTTCTAGGTTTTCTGCAATATATTTGAACTTTAAGATTGGTTTAAATTTAAAAGTGGTTTTTGTTTTGTAGGTTGGATTTAGGGAATATATTCTAAAAGGCTCTTTGGTCATTGTTAGTGAGTTTTAAATTCTCTGCTTTAGTGAAATGCTCTGAACAGATCTTATTTCCTCCAGAAGTTTCTGAGGGGACCCATGTATGAGTATGTACAGAGCATGTGCTAAGTGCTGAGTTCGATGCCAGTCACTAAAATAAATAAGAAATAAATACGTTTTAAAGGCTTATCTCACTCCGTAGACATTTTCTAAACAAGAGTCAAGTTCTTCTGCATGAACAAGGGGATTTTGGTTGAACACAATCTGGCCTCTAGTAAAGGCCTAATCACCCCTTCTCCGTGGTACTCTTAAAAGCACCATGACTTTCCATTCTCCAGTGACAGATTTCTGCCAGAGGAGTTCTGCTAGCTGAAATTTAGACCCAATAAAATATTCCTTTTTACAGAGCAGCCAGAGGACACTGTGAGCCCATGAAAAGACTACATTTTACATTTGAAAGCTTTCTCTGGCCCCCAGATTTTCATCCGGGAAGATTAAGTGTATTTGTCTTATTGACTAATGAAAATCAGCATTGCTCCTTTTTAAGTATCAGTGGGTTTGCGTGTACATGGATCTGATTGTATTTCTCCTCTCATTATCAGCAGGCACAGCTGTTTGGTCTAGAAATGGAGGACAGGCCTCATCATCTCCTAATTATGAAGGACCCTTGCATTCTTTGGTATGTCACATCTCATACCTCACTACTTCCCAATCGGGGTTTTCCCTTTTTCTATCACTTTCAAAGATTCTTATTTTCGCTATTCTTTATTAAGAACACCAGCTTGTTGGAGCCAGTTACTAGGCTATATGCTCATCTCTGTTTGGAGATGGTGACCTAGATGCAACTAGAATGGAAGCCCAGGGCTCTATATACCTAGGGACTGACACGGGATAAAGAATCATCCTGAAAATTTAGTGTTGTGCCTTCCTCCCAACATCTTTGGGAAAATTCCAAAGCAATGGGTACCTAAGGGTGAGGGCTGGAACACTTGAAAGTGCTATCTCCCTCCACCCCGCCTGCCAGAGATCAGCCTGCCATTTCCACCTAACCTCAAGCGAGAGGCCAGCCATTGGCATCCCCCTCCTCTATTGTTCTTATAGGAATACAGCAATTTTATTTTATAGAAGTGACTACTCTTCCAGAGGAAAAAGCTGAACATTTCCAGGAGCTTAATTCATATTATAAACACTCGCAAGATGATTCAAAGTCTGGCACTTCTATCCTCCTCAGCTTAGGGTGGGTGGAGCTGGAATTATGCAAGAAGCAGCCCTGCACCAGTGCATGTTTGGTGTGCATTTGAGTCAAGTAGCAGGGAGCCATTTGCCCCACAGGATTGAGTTTTCTTTTCCTTCAAATTCTGAGATGAAACAGAGAAGAAAGCATCAATTTCCCTATCTCATTCCATGTGCCTATCTATGACTTAGAAGCTACTATTCCCTTTCAACTTAGTTTTTATAGGAAACTCTGCAGAATAAAACTCAGAGGCAGTTTCCTTCCTTCCTCACACTCTTCCTCTATGAACTGTATGAGTCACCCAGCTATGCATTTTAGCCAATAAAGACAACTGCATGGAGAAAACATACCCACAGCCCAGCCCTTTCATCTAGACTACATTCAGATAGCTCAGTTGTTTTAGCTACTTAGCATCTGCAGACTGCTCTCCATAGCCAGGCCATCAAAACCAGACTTTTCAGCTGAAGAACTGGAGATCTTGGTTTAAAGCTGGGGACCACATCTTTGATTCCCTGTCCATCGTGAATACTCCCAGGGATTCATAAATAGAGATCTCACTCTCCACCAGGGAACTGTTAACCAGAAAGTAGACCAGGCACCTGTGTGATTTCTTCTCATGCTCACATTGACCCAACTCTCTACTATCATCCTCGCTTTTATAGTTTAAAAACTGTAGACTGAGAGGTTAGTAATGTTCTCTGGTCAAATAAGTAGCACAAGCCAGCAGGCTGGGGAGGTCATATAACCCCCAAGCCCACCAAATCAAAGTCTTCTGTACCATAGACTAAAAGGATTAGACACACATTCTTCCTGCCAGTATAGAATAATTGGAAATTGCTTTTCTCGTGCAATAGAGCTGGTGCATCTGTTTGCACAGAGCTTTAGAAACCAAAGTAGACCATGCATGTTCTAGTACAAAATAGCACTAGGTTTAAGTTTTTGTTTTTCTTTGTTTGTTAAAAGGGAACAAACACATAGATTCCAACCCTGACTACTATTTCTTGGCAATAAGACAGAGTGATTAATTCAGTTAATTTTTGAGCTACATTCTCATGTCCATATGGAAGGAGCAGCCCTGTCCTATCTGTCTGTGAATACATGTGGAATGTAGGTCGATGAGATGGTATATTTTAGTGTGTACACTGGCAAGTAATACTTGATTATCACAGTAAAAAATGAAGACATAACTGTGTTCTTTTTCTTCACTGTTAACTATAGCATAGGCCTTACCTAGTTGAAAAAATCTAGGATCCTAAAGGCTAGAATGGAAAAGGCATTATTGGTTTTTAATTGCATAAGGTAATGAATTCTCTGCTTCAGTATGTACTTTGAAATCAGTGGTAGTCCCTGGGTAGATGATCAAGCTAAGTCTTGTTTATTCTCTAATCTTATGGCTTCATATCACTTTGGGTGACAGGATTTTTAAGTTATTTTTGTCGTAGTAATTTCTGAGCCACCGTCCTCCGCCCCCCCCACACACACACACATGCAAGTTGATACTGATAACAGATAAAAAGTAGGTGGGGAGGTTAAAGTTCTCTAAACTTTTCCTATTTCTGACTTGAAGAAAATTTAATTTTTTAAAAAAAGATCATCTTCCCACTACTAATATTATAGCTCTTTAGCTAGTACTTGACAAAGATTTCCTCAAATTCAATGCATGTTTTCCTCTCTAACATAAATCTAAATTCTCTTTCAAGCTAATGTAGTCCAGTATAGCATATGTACATAATAATGTCCTCAAAGAATTATCAAATTTACTTTGTTCCTGAAAAATAACACTGCCATTTTAATATTAACGTTTTCCACCAGTTTTCTAGGAAGGACATTATTTATTTTTATTATTGTTCTAAGGAAACAAACTTTATTGGAAACATATATTCCGAACCCCAATGTGTGGTCTGTAGCAACTCAGTATTCTACTTGTGTAACCTGTGCGTGCATTTCAAACTAAATCAGATCTCCCTTCATTTTATAAACCAACAGCAAAGCCGGATTGAAGACCGTTTAGAGAGACTGGATGATGCAATTCATGTTCTCCGGAATCATGCGGTGGGCCCGTCCACAGCTGTGCCTGGTGGCCATGGGGACATGCATGGAATCATTGGACCCTCTCATAATGGAGCAATGGGTGGTCTGGGCTCAGGGTATGGAACTGGCCTTCTTTCAGCCAACAGACATTCACTCATGGTGAGTAATAATGACACATGAACTCTACTTATGTAGAATTAACATTTCAAGTGTAAATACTTCTGCTATTATTTGTTTTTAGGATCAGCTTTATAGAGATATAATTCACCATATGGATAATTCACATATTGATAGTATACAGTTCAGTGTGTTTTAGGGTGTTCATGGTGTCATGCACCCATCACCACTGTTGAATTCTGGAATGTTTTTGCTCCTTGTAAAAAGAAAGAGAAAGGCACATAACCATCAAGCAGTTATTGCCCACCATCCTCATTCCCCCAATTCCTGGCAATCACTAATCTACTTCCTTCCTGTTCCTATAAGTTCTGGGCACTTCATTTAAATGGGATAATACTATGGATTGGCCTGTCTGATCAGCTTCTTTCACCTTATCTCTTTAAGATTTATCTGGGTTTTCCCATATACTAAAGCATTATTTGTTTTTATTGCCATTATATTTCCTACTTATCAGGTGACAGGTCCTAGGGCCATTTTTGCTTTTTGGCAATTGCAAAAAAAAACAAACCAAAACAAAACAAAAGAAAAACACCAACTCCTAGTATCCATGCACAAGATTTTATGTGGGCACGTTTTCATTCCACATAAGTATTAATAAGTTGCTGGATCACTGCTCATATTTTCAGTTATTCACCTTGGTACCTTTGATCAAAGCACATAACAAAACTTCAGGTCACATTAGTAATATTCCAAATATGAGGGTAGTTTTGTTTGATTTGCTTCATGAAACCAAAATGATGGCTTTTAGTCTCAGGTTTGGGAGGTAGAAATAAGTTGTGTATTTGCCTTTTGAGTGGGTCAGAGAATGTCTATACCAAAAATACTAGGTGATAATAATTGGCTGATAAATCAGATAAATTTTAATTTTTTATTGATTTTTGTGTAATTTTGCTCCTTGCATATGCTTGGTGGTAGACATCTTGTTGCTCTGCTTGACACTTCTAGGGTTTTCAGAATTGCTTGGGAGCAAGGCTATTCTCCATTCTCAGTACAGCTTCTCTCATTGGGAGATGCTTCCCAAAGGAAATACAAAATAACTCTGAATCCTTGTGCAGCTCTTGTTCAGCAGTGTTTTTTGGTCTTTCTTCAGTTTCTCTAATTAAAAGACTAAGATGAAGAGTGCTGTCCTGCACAGTATAATACTGAAACCTGCAACTGATTAGAAACCAGAAATATGGACTTATAAATAGAAGCAATGAACTAACTCACTTCTAAAATGTGGAAAGATATTTTTGAATGCCAATGCTCAATTTTTTCTTACTTTTTTCCTTTATCTTGACCTCTACCCTGAAAATCCATCATTGGATAAAAATTGTTTGCGTGTTCATTGGCAGTTGCTAAAGAGTTTACAAAGGAAAGGCTTGATTTTAATTTAGCCTGGCCTCGGGTAATGTGTTAAACACTTGGGATGCATATAATATGAGATTTTCATTCGTACATCTCTCTTTTTTATTTTTTGCAACTACAATATTTAAACAACACTGCTTTTAATTAAGAAATCTGGCTTTATTAAAATCCAGATCTGCAACTTATAACCATTTATGTATATCTGCTCTCAATCAAGAGAAAAATAGTCTAATTTCTGTAGCTGCGTTCACTTTGCATATGTTAGCCGGATGCAGCATGCACTCAGGACATGGATGTAGAGACTGTCTTCTCTGTTCTTGAATACCAGATGGAGGCTAAGTGGTTCTTTAAAATATTAAACTGTACATAGGTGCTATTTGGGATTATTTGACCTTTGGGTTGCCTCTTCTTTGAGTCTGATTCTGAGATGGGAAAAGAGGAAAAAGGAAACAACAACAAAACACACTAGAATTATTTTTGGAGAGGGGGAGTTGAACTGACCCCAGTGGAAAGAAAAGCGAGAACAGAGCAGAATAATTTTTAAAAGGGAAATAATTGGCCAATTGTGTACAGACACCTCTTGGCTATGGCTGCTGGAGTACTATATAAAAGAAATAAAGTTGCAGGTTTTGCTGATAAAGACAAGTTACTTCTCATTCCTATTAGGAACTGTGGAGCCAGCCAAATCTTGGCCGTCCTCCAGAGATATGCATGTCAACAGCCCTTGCCCTTTGAACCCAGTAGGGGTCTTGTCAACCTCCTTGCTTCCTAGAAACCATGTAGCACCTAAAACCCTGAACTCCTAAAGCCTCATGTGGGTGGAAGTGATTGGATTGCATATCTTTTCTCAACACAAACTCATATGAATTTTAAAACAAAAGCGTAAGAACAAAGGAAATATTTTTTGAATTTATTCAGTCCGAAGTTAGCCTTTGACCGTTTGATACATTCCACAATAAAAATGACAGGGGAAGCAAAAAAAAAAAAAAAAAATCCCCTTTCCCCCCAACAACAACAACAACAAAAAATTCAAGAAGGACGCTGGTAATGTTTTCCACATTTGAATTTTAATACATGAAACAGGCTTTCAAACCTTGGCCAGCTGCAGGAAGTAAAGTAGCAGTGGGAGGTATGTAGTGGAAAAGGGGCAACAGGGCTTAAAGGGCTGGAGCAGGGCTGGATCTCAGCTAAGCACCTTGCTTTGTTGTTCTGGGATGGAAGTGAGGGGCAGAAACTTGAGACTCATCCTAGGCTGGTTTTGTTTTGAGCAAATCTCTGTTATAACTCTGCCTCATGATTCCCTCTGATTAAAGAAGAGATGACTTCAAATGAACTTGACCTACAGCCTCTTCTTTGTTCCCTCCCTACCTCCTGAAAATCAGAACAAAATGCCTTGATAACATGGGAGATGATGTACGCCTTTCTTTCCCTAGCAGCTTGACTCTGTGGTAGGGAAAACTGTGTTTCTGTCTCAGCTATTGTCTTATCTCATTTAATTGCTAATATATTTTACTTAGCCTTTGATTCACAAAATGTCATCCTTGGTCTTCTGGAATTTACTAATTATTAATACAATGAAAGGGACTTTTTTTCCCACTGCAGCATGGCTTATGCCACTGGAGTAGATGGCCAATATGTGGGGCTTTCTAGATAACATTATTTGTCTGCGCTTTTCCTTCTTAGAAACTTTAAAGGGACTCCCATTGTCTGTAAGAATAGGATCAGCTTTGTAGCTCATCAGCCAAGACCCCTTATTATTCACCAAAAGCCTTATATTTAGCCATTCTATTATGCAAAGATTTTCCAGCCAAACCAGTGTTTGCAAGTGCACATTACAAAAATGGGCCCTATTAGGTACCTCTTTTGCATATGTCCTGGGTTCATCCTGTCCACTTCTCTCTTCTCACCCATGGTCATAAGTTGTGACAAACTCATCCTCTTCCAGGAAGCCATCTCTTGCTGCTTCTGTCTGTAACAGTCATTTTCTGCAGCCCACCCCACCCCACCCAGCAACCTTGTCTCATACACAATGAGTCATACCACTTTTAGATATTTATCCTAGCCCGATTCACATAGCTGTGGCTCTTTTATAGGGGCAACTTCAGTATGACTGGCAAGTGTAAATTCATTGGTACCATGTTTTCTATTTTTCTCTTTCTCCCTGGAGATAGATCATCACTCAGTGAGAAGAAGATGGACTAGCTTGACCCCTCTGGTCTAGGCTCTGGGTACAGCATCTCAGGTGGCATTCATAGAGGTCCAATGAGGGGGACCATGATGTCAGGGTTGGTGATGTGAGCTTCCTGAAGTCTAAACAGGTCAAGACATACAGCTATATTTAAGTTTAGAGACCTTCCTCCAGACCCCACACTCTGTTTTCCTGCCATTACAATTCCCAGACATTGTAAATACTCCTTTTCAAAACTAATGTAGGTGCAAAGAGTTTATGATTTTCATATCTTGGTAAACTTTGGTTGGCAGAAGAAGGTTCTGGGTATTTTATGGTCTGGATCCCAAAGTGGCTGTTCTCTCCAGTGGGGACTAGGGGCATAACCGGCTCAGTGTAAATCATTCTTATCCAAGTACCTTCTTAAGTCACCTTCTTCTTCAGACATGCTGAATGGCCAAGAGTTGTGAATTCTTCCCACTTGAACCATTGAGGATATAATGTTAAGTCACCAAGTAATGTTTCTTAGCATAACAGCCTCCTTCCCTGGCAAAATCCAAGCAGATGTCTCTGAATTTGGGATCAGACAAGTAGGATTGTCTCTTACCTACTTAGGCAATCTTGCCACTTCCAGCTCTGTACTCCATCCTCCTCATGGTTAATCTTGGCCTTGAAATCATTCACTCTCCTATAAACTGCTTTAGAAACAGTCTTCTAAATGCAGTTCTCTTTGTTATTCATTGCATACTCACTCTCAGAGATGGAGCCTTTCAGACAACTTCGCATTTTCTCTTAATGGAACAAAACGAGCATGCCTTCATGTGGCCCTGTGTGTACCCCTGGTTAGAGAGACTCAGCAATGTTGTACTTATTATCAGTATGCAGTTCCTGTGGTTCTCAGTTCCTTTTTGAGTAAATTCTGCTTGTTCATTTCAAGAACATTTAGCTATGGCAACAAGTATCAGGTACCATGCTCCGTTATGGTCTCTAGTCTCAAGGGGGCTCACAAACTAGTTGGAAATAAACCACTACCTTTTAAACAAATTACTGTGTGCTAGTCCACTAGGCCCTATAAGACTGTCTTACGTAGAAGGGACAACCTCATGGTCACCTGACATAGGAGAAGTTCCTTATGTGTTGTTCCTGAGAAACCCGGGGCTTTGTCCAGATCAGGCAGGTGTACTGCCACTGGCTACAGCCCTGACCCCCATCTCTCTTTTTTCTTCTTTCTTTCTTTTTAAATTTTGAAGTAGAGTTTCCTTTGTATTCAGGTTTGCCTTGAACTTACTCTGTAGGTCAAGGTGGATTAGAACTCTGTCCTCCTTTTTCAGCTTCCTCATTAACTAGGCTTACAAATTTATACCACAGGACCTAACAGCAGTCATCTCTTAGGAGCTATGGCTGACTAAAAGATGGAGGAGACCTGTCTAACTTGTCTCCTATTCCTGTCCTCTATGGTATCCCACTA